TATACCCTCTGGTTACCAAGGGCGAGGAGTCCACCCAGTCCAAAATAATTGATTAAGACAGTAGAATTAAGGCATTAGGACTGGATTGGACTTCAAATCATAACAAACTAAACTTTGTGAATGTGAAAAGCCTCAAGAAAATCCAATTCCCCTGTTTTTTTGTATTTTTGAAGACCAATCAATGATTTTTGCAAAATCCAGCTATGAGCGTTATTGGAAGACTGTTAATTTCCCTTTTTTGACATAAGATCATTTTCCTTTGACGAAACGAAAATTTAACTTTTTGTTTGGCCAATATATCTTAAACCACATGACATGATATACTATAAATTCCCAAGAATTCAACAGAAACGAATCTTAGAATCGAAGGGGAATTTTTTAATAGGGAGAAAACGACTTGAAAAATTGAATTTCTGGAGAATCCGGCCCTTTCTAGCTAACAGAAGGATAAAATGGAAGCACGACAAGGTCATTGTATTTTTCTAACAGGAAATTTCTTTTTGATCTGAAAACTTTTTGAACGGCTTTATCAATAATCACGGGAAAATCAAGGTCAATAGCAAAGAGAAAATTAAGTCATGGTAAACCAAAAGATTCAGGAGGACAAACAAAAAAAAGGAGGGAAACATAATAGTAAAGAAGCCATTTTTTGCTTCACAGGGTGGCATGACTTGGCATGGGGTGGTAAACAAACTGCCAAAGGGTTTACGGTACACAGTGGTGCTAAAATCGGTTTCATTGCGGATTATAAGAATATCGAGGAAGGGGAGGGGAATTGTTGGATTCAATTTCAAGAGTGAATTGGATGGCTGGATCAATTGAATTCAGAATAGATAGAATCTCGGATAAATCCTCTTTATAAACCGTCAAAAAGTGCGAAAGTCGTCAACATACGAATCCAAAGACGAAAAGATAATTTTATCAATATTTCATCATCTCAAAATAGTGCATATAAATGTCAGCAAGTACCGGACTGAGAGGATTACCCATAGCCAATCCTTAACTTGACGAAAATATGCATTTGGAAAACAAAGTGGGTTTTTGACTTAGAGAAAACTTTAGTAAGCGAAAAACCAACTCATTAATTTCAGTATGTGTGAAGTGAAATTCCGAAGCCTAGTTTCAAGACAATTAGTGCTCCTTCGACCGGAACATTAGTAACAACAATGATTTGACATCAAATGAAACCATAATGGAACGAAGTGGGGAAATATTTTTAAGTTTATCAATGACTTCAACAGAATTTTTTTCAGTGTGAATATTGTTATCAAGTAGAGGAGAAAATCTGGAAACTAAATATTTGGCCAAAGATGAAGCAGTACCATGTTGGAAACAATTGGTCGAAAAGGAATACCGGTTTTGTGGACTTTTGGAAGAGCATAAAGTCTAAAATGAAATGTGTTTGGTTGAACGTGAGAGGATACTGGCTCTATGGAGGATATTTTTTACTCTTATTTCTGTGGATTTATGTGTCGAGGTCATTGTCTGATTTTTAAAATGTAGTTTATTGAGATAATATATTTTTTGTTGGCTGCTCCTTTGGCTTTTTAAGTGAAAATAGCTCGATGTGTACAAGGACAAAGTCAATAGAGTGCACAATGCTAAGTTTGTGCAATTCTGTGATTTTTGTTGTGTGAAAATAGGTTGATGTGTACATGGATACAGAGTTTGTGCAATTCTTTGGTTTGTCATTTTGGCTTTGTGTAGCGGTCATTTTTGGCACAAAAGTTGCCAAGGGGCACTCGTAAATACATTTTTACAAATGTAACTTTCTGGCTATTTTTATCACAAACACAGAAAATTAACATTATACTTTTCTCCCATTTTAAAAAGTTCATTTAATTTATAATAACATAAATGCATGACTAAAAACATTACAAGAAGCAAAGCATTTCAACCTAAAATCCTTTTACAACTTTTTTTTTTAAACAAAATATATAGCAAACTTAATTTGGATAAACCAAATAGGCCTATTTAGTTAAATTACTCGCTTGATTTTAGTTTCCTACATCACACTTTGGCAACCTGCAGTTTTTTCACCACTCTTATATTGATATTAGGCCAGATTTTCACTACCTTTCTTTTCATTTACATATTCAAATAGGTTTTATTTTACTAATTAACTCTTCCAGCTGTGTAGATCATAATTTTTTTTTACCCTCCCTCCAGATAAATACATACAACACCTGCATAAATTTCATGCATTTAAAACATAAGTAATTGCAACATTTAAAATTTGTTCAAATTTTATATTGTACTTAGAATAACAATAATCAACCAAAGAGATTAAGAATTCAAAGCTTTTCATCTTACATTTAAAACAAAAAAAAAAAAAAAAATTAATCACATATAAAAAAAAAGTAGGGCAGATCTTAAGACAAATTAAAAGCTAGATCTCCTATATTAAACAGCCCAGCTGTGAACACAAAAGCTTAATAATTTTAAATTATCAGTCAAAGTTTAAACGTTTCTAGAAGAAATTAGTATTTCACAACTTATTTACATAAACTGGCATACAGGCTTCAACTTTGAAACAGATGAATAAAATCTCAAACTAATAAAACCATCTCTATGTCCATTGCAAGTTTTTCAACTTGATGTCACGCCTAGTTTAATAGTACATCTGAAGTCTAAACATATTAGAAATTCCTCTGCCATTTAGTTGACAGTGCAAAATACATTGTCATTTAGTTGTTTATGAGAACAACGTAACCAGTACTTTCCAAAATTTGCACCCAAGGTTGCTGCCTATATCATCTATGCTTTGAGTAGGCCCTACTTACAACTTTTCCTCACAAAAGTCATAATATTTATTATTTAAAAAAAGAGGGGTCATTAAAAGTGCACGTATTATTGTCTTAAAAAAATAGAAAAAAATTTTTTTTAATAACATAAATGAAAATCTGGCAACCAGTAATCTGATACAAGAAAATAAAAAATGTGATTATTTTTAATCTATATGCATGTTGAAAAGTCTTGCACCCAAACATGCTCACCTATCTTGAAGCCTAAATTTTATATTTGTTCATTAACTTTATGTTTTGTACAAACTTAATGAAATTTTCATTGACACGTTTGCCAATTTAAGTTCGCCACTCTATAAAGCATATGATATTTATGTCTGAAATCTAATTAGAAAACTCTGCCATTTAAAAGAAATGCATTGTTCCTTAGTAAAATGTAAGATACTTACATTTAAAATTTAATCAACAAACTTAGGAATCAAAAGACGTGTTGCCACCACTCAAAATATTTTAATTTTTCCACATGCATGAGTATCCTTCAGCAATTCTTCAGTTTTTCTTTCAAATTTAATCTGTCTGTTAGTCATTAACAAACTACGCAATTTAAAAGCGAAAAACATAGTTCTTCCATCTCTATTATTACTATCTACTAGCTGAATTCATTAAAATCATTATATATTTCTTTCTTTTTTATAATAACCAGCTGGCCATACTAAAGTGGTTCAGGCAGAGTCGTAGCTAGGGTTTCCAGCGCCCAGGGACAACTGAAGATTTCGCGCCCCCTACTGCTTGCCAAGGATGGAAAACATTTAATTCTAAAATGTCGTAACATCAATTTGATTCAGCCCCTTGGTTCTGCTGGCCCAGGGAGAGATGTCCTCCCCCCTTTAGCTTTGCCCTGGGGGTTCAGTATACAAAACAAGGTGAAAATTTGCCATGCCCGGTTTCACATTCATAATATATACAGACGGTTCATCATAAGTGATCAAAATATATAAAGGCAAAATTCCTGCATGTAATTAATGAAATATATAAAATATGTACAACTTTAATAATTTTTTTATCAAAATTCATTACTTATTAATTTTACTACTTTTGCAAATAAAATAAACAGACAAAAAAAAAAAAAATCTATTGAAATTTTACTATAAACTGTGTTACAAACTATGCCCACATCTACTTCTCCTAATTAATATCTAAATCATAACTTTTTATTACTACGATATGAAAATGTGTTTTATGCATCTCCAAAGAGGTTAAGGCATACACCAAGACATAACCACACAATATCGTGGTTGCAAAAACAGAGATAGATATTTTGTGATACTGATACCAATAAGAAAAAAAGGGTTAAACATTGCTCAAATTTTAATTTACCACAATTTCATGCTATTTTATACTCTTATATCAATATTTCATAGCACTTCACATTAAATAATTATCGACTGCATTTTATACTTGGTGAGAGGTGCTAGACTTTTTGGTACTCAATACTGTACCTCTTTCTTCTAAATTATACTATGTGGAATTTCCAAAATTTTGTGGCCCCTAAATTTTACCACCTGGCATATGGCCACTCTAGCTCTGACCCCAACCTTTTCAACGAATAAATTTCAAAGATTGAAAATTTTATAGCTGTATGTTCCTTCCTGATTTAATACTGTTATTCACAGACTAGAGTAGCAAAGTAGAAACCTCTGCACCTGAAAGCTTAGGTTAAGGTTCAAAAAACAAAACAAACTACAACAACAACAACAAAAAAAAAAAAAAAAAAAAAAAATTTACAAAAATCTGAAGTGAAATAATTAATCTCAATTATTATTCTTTCTTAGTTTTGTAGGAATACTTTTGCAGACAAATGTAGTCTAGGATATACTTTGCATTTATAATCATAGCAGTTTCATGCAAATATCAATTTACTGCACTTCATTTTTACCCCTTAACACTTGCACAATATAGTCACTCTATAAAGCATATAGTCAGTTTATAATGGTCATTCACAATTTCCAAGGCCACTGCTTTTGCATTTTGTGTCACATTTTCTTTCAATGGCCCCCTAATAAATTCAAAATTCTAACAGATTAACAAAAAAATCTGTTAGAATTGAGGGAAATTTAATTTGCTCCTCTTTCTTTGCAAGTTGGCAAATTCAACTGAGCAATTTACAGTAATAAACCATGTGAATGAACTATTCATCAGCTGATCATGTATCAACAAATGATTTAAAAGTTAACGATAATATATATAAATGCATACCTGTACAGTGCCTCTTTTTCGGATCCGTTGTACACATTGAAGGTGAAACCGGCAGATTCGCGAGAGTTATTGAATCCGATTTTGCATTCTGTTTGCCAGGCGACATCCAGTTCGTTGGTAATGAACTCGTTGTTATTGTTACCAGTCGCGTTCTCAGCCCCGAGCATGGGGCTGAAAGTACCCTGCGTCCGAAAATCCCCCTGCGAGTCCCACTTCTCGTAGGTGGACATAATAAACTAAAAGCACGATCACAGATATATGAAGCCGCTAAAAGCAATGGAACCTTCCATTTGGTTTAAAATACACACCATAACAGGCTATCTCCCCTCACAGGAATAGGAGAAGTCTTGTAGTATTCGCCGCGATAAGCCACGGCGATGCCGCCATGTGCGGCGTCCGTCGCTAATGTGTACAGCCAACAAAAATGGCAGCGTAGTAGCGAGCGAACCGGCTACTTTTAGGGCTACCACATTGTAACGAATTGACGATGTCGCCAACAAAGAGAGAGCCAAATGACGCTTGGCGATCATCACAGCTCTAGAACACTGTGAAAGTTTCGCATTAATAGAAAATTTATTTTTAGAACTAAGAGGTGAGAATTGTTTTCGCTGCGCTCGTCGCGGCAAGCTTGTGAATAGAGGAGAGGAGTACTGAGTAAAACTTGGAAAGGCAAACAAAAGTTTAGAAAGTAACTCATAATGGGACGTCTAAATTTATTTACTTATTTAAACTTGTGTACTTTTTAACACTTTCAATTGGTAATGAAAATTACAGAATAGATAACACATTATTTTCAGATGCTCGTGATATTGTAAATGTTTCATTTTTTATATTAAAGAATATATTTACAAAAGATACTATTTATACAACAAGCTTCAATATCGTTCAGTCCGAGCAATTTAATGAACAATGTGCTAAGAATGAAGAAATTAATGATATATTATTCAAATTAACAAGTACGTAAATGTATGTCATATAACTTTTCGATCTTTCGTATTTGAAGTACTATTAAGATGCTTTGAGACTAGTAAGAGATCTTAGGAGAAGAGGCGGATTTCTGGTTTAAAAAATCAGATGTAGACAACACGTGACTTCCTTGTATGGCCTATTAAATTGCACATGATTTTTTGCTGCACTTCATTTAAACTTATTTCTTTGAATTATTCTAACTTAATTAGCCGATCCCTCGAGGTAAGTTGAAAATAATATTAAAATTGCAAATTTTGAAAGGGAAATTTTTGTCGAAAGGGAGTCAAACTTCTTTATAATTTTACTTTTTTATAACGAATATAAAACTTTCCCAGGTATAAGTATAGGAATTGGAAGATTACATTTTAAAGTTAGATTTCATTATTATTACTATTATTTAATTTCACACTGCCAAAACATGAATGTTTTTGTCATTTAAAACATTTCTGTAACTGGAAGTACATGACTACGACTAATCATTGCAAAAATAAAGGCCGGGTAAAGGGGGTGGGTATATATATACATATCTTTAGTATGATACTATCATATATATATATATATATATAAACCTTTAGTATTGCTAACTAGAATAAAAAAGAGAGGTGCACAACTAAACATTATTACAGTGCCATATACAAAATTTCAACATTCTACGGCTTTTGAGTTTTCATCGTTTTTGAGTTATGCGAGCTGCAAACGTACGTACAGACGTCACGAAAAAATCCATTTTTGAATCTATTTTAAATTCATTTTACAAACCGTTTTGGAAAAAACAGTCTTTTATTCTCTCCGTACGTACAGACGTTACGGAAAAGAAAGAAAGAAAAAGAAAAAAAAAAAAAAAAGATTCGGGAACGGTTAAAATGTATATTTCCGTTGAAATATGATACCCGAAATTTTTTGCGATTACAATATTTCCGTTACTTCGTACAAGGAAGTAAAAATACCAGTCATTTTCCTCAATTTCCACACACACACACACAAAATCAGTTTAAAACACTCTAATCACTGCATTCCAAATAAGAACGAAAGGAAAATGAAAAATTTTACTGGACAATCAAGAATAAAGATATTGCATTTACTGACAATATTGCTTTCATTCTACAAAATTTCCAAACGCGTGACATGATACTAGGTACGTGCAAACCAAAATACTCTTTGTCAACCTTAACCTTTATTGTGGCATGCCAACACTTGGTTTTGGCATTAGTTTCACACTTTTATTTTCATTTGCTTTTGGCAAAGTCTGATTTCGAACAAAGCATGCTCATTCTGACACCATTCTTATCCGCCACCGTCTGTCAGAAGAACAACTTCTCCCGCGCGTCATATGTTGAAGTCGCTTTCTTCCTAATTGCTTTCAAATAGACTTTAAATAATTCCACTATTTAAAAGACCTCCTTTAAAGCTTTTAACATTAAACTTTTTAATATTATTATGGAAACAGAATGCTATACTTTATTTACAGACCTTAATACAAAATTAAATTCAATATGTTACATTACTGCAAGATTGACTTACAAATGCAAAATTACGCTTTAAAGCTACTGCTGCAAGTATAAAGCAGAAAGAATTATTTAAATATCACATATACTTGCATATTTTTTCCCCATGCAAATTCACAAGCATTTTTATAGAAAGAGTTAAATTTTTTTTTATTTAACTATTCTACAAGAATGATAATTTCCTGGGATTTTAATACAGTCAAAAGTCGTTAATTCGGACACCCATAATCCGGAATTATCTATAATCCGGACCTCAAAGCTAAAATCTTTCTGCGCATGCGCCGCGTCGACGCATGCGCATAGGCGTTTTACGCGTGCGCGCAAGACATTTACGACTGCGCATATGCGTCTGCACAAGTGCAGAATACGTTTTCGCGTGCGCGTTTAATGTATAACGGACGGTATAAGCTAAAATTATCTAATTATCTATTTCAGTTAATGTTGATGACTGCGTTGTTCCTTAATCTTCGAATTGGATCCGGCTTATTATTTTTTGCAGACTAAGAGCAATTTTTATAAAAGTAAGCTTGAACTTTCGATTATGTCAAATAGAATTTCCGATGGTGGAGCTCCCAAAGGATCTAGAAAACGAAAGTATGTTTCGATGTCCATCAAACAAAAAACGAATTGCTACAAAAAATGGATAAAGGCATATCCTTTGTTTATCTAACCGTTCCGAAATCTGTTTATCAATTTCACGCTGCTCTGCGCGGGGGGGGGGGAAGACGTCGCGGCGCGCAATGAACTGGAAGTTGATCTGTCAACACTATCGTTATCTTCAGGGCAGATGTTCTTATTTTATTCGGCTTATAATTCCTTACTAAATGTAGTATTTAATCTCGATGTACTCCGTCTTTGATATGATTTAAATCAAATTCCTCGTCATTATAAATATCCCGAATACAAATCAAATAGTTTTCTGGTTGCAATTTTCTAATTTCGGCTATGCGTAAGGTATGCTTTACGCATGCGCGCGTTGAAAGAAATGTTCAATAAAGTAAACAAAGAAATATTAAGCTTCTTTTTTGGTAAGTTTTGATACCCTTTAGATCATAATTGCTCATTATTTTATAAATTACGGTTTCATATTTTTAATTTTATAATTTCTGCATGCCATCTTACCAGATTTAAATTGATGATCTATAATTCGGAAAAATCGATAATCCGGAATCGCCGAAGTCCCGACGAGTCCGGATTAAAGACTTTTGACTGTAAAGCCCTTTCTGAATCTGAGCTTCAAGTCCTTCATAATTTTAACTAAGCTTATTCATACTCCGCTAAAATTAGGGAACAGAATGATAAGAACTATAAAAAACAACACCCTGAAAAGATTCTCTCTCCAAGATGTGTGGATAAAGAAGTATATGGAAGTCAAGATACTCCGAAGGAAGGGTATTTCTTCTGTTTTCAAAAGCAGAAAACAATCGGTACAATGTCACCTCGTAGTCTTTCTCCTTAGGGTCCACTTGAGCCATAAGAACAGATGGATATCACGGACATTCAAAATGCATTCCATAATTTTCAACTTCCTTAGTTCCTTTTTTAAATTTATCGCTTGGTCTCAGTGCTTCTCAACCTTTCTTGCCCCATGCACCCATTTCATCATGGCTAGAAGATCATCTCCCCTCGCTCTTTTTAAAACTCGAAAAATATAGACCATACAACTCCAATTACCCGAACTCCGACTATCCGAATCGCTTTCTGAAAGAAAAAAATTAAGAAAGAGTGGTACGATGAAATTTTCATCCCTGACGTGAAAAAGCACCAAAAATCTCTTGGAAAAGAAGGCAGTAATGTGCTTTTTGATTGTTGATGACGCACCAACTCACTCCACAGAAGAATTGTTGAAAAGAGGGAATGGCCAGTTTACAGCAATTTATACCGCAAAGTACAACTTTCGCACATGGAAGTATCGAAAATGCCCATAAAGAAACTTTAGAATTTTAGAGAAATAGAGGGTACACAAAAAACTTAAATCCCTTATGTGGCAGCTGGTAGCATACATCAAGGTCGACAATTCACATAAACAAAGAATCTCTAAGGAGAAGAATGAAAGCTTCCATAGACGCAATGTAAACCTGTTTCGCCTCTGCGCCGCTGTACCGAAGAGCCACGGCTATGCAGTGAAAACACCAGCGCAGGGTGAAATTTAAACAGCGCACTTCGAGGAGATAGTAAATTTTTTACTTTGAAATAACTCAAAATGTTTTATTTTCATACATTTCTGGAGTTTTCTGAGCAAAAGGATGTTAGTTGGAATTTTGGGGCGAATTATAGAAATCCTGTCCAATTTTTACTTTCAATTTAAACAGCGAGCCGTACGAAGACAAAATTTAAATGAAATAAATTTCTTAATTCTTTTCTTCTGTAAACTTAAAAAGGGGGGAAAACACATGCCATACAAAACGTAATAAATTTTTATGGATCCATAGTTAAAATTTTACAGTGAAATTTTAAAAGCAAAATTTGCAATAACTAACTGAAACAGAAAAAAAATATTTAAAGACAATTAAAGGCACCCCTAAATAAATTGAAAACACTGAAATACATTATAATTATCCGACAACAACTTTAAAAACAAATTACCATGAAAACGTTTAGACAATTATTTGGAATGACCATTGTGAAAACCAAGAGCAAAGTTTTCACCCAATAGCCAAAACCATTTCACTTACAGCATTACATTTAAAAAGTCTTTAAAAGAATTTCACATAGCTAAAACCAAGTACCTCTGACTACAACAACAAAGAACGTTTTCGAACAACGTGGTAAAAGATTGCTAACATGGCCGACGGCATGTTGATGTTGCTGCTTTTTTGCCTCCTGATGTTATTTCGCACATGCGCAGTGAGGTACGGAGGGTGGATAGCTTTGGAATGGTTTGCCCCTTTAAAGTAAGCTTCAAGGATATACATAATGTGTC